TACTACAATACATACGAGTAAATGTATGCGAGTGCTTTCAATGTATTAGGGTGGTTTGTTAAAAAGAAAAAAAATGTAATTGCAATTTTGTGCGTACAAAAATGTAAGAAAATTAAAAGTATGCAAAGAAAAAAACTAAAAAAAAAGAAAATATTACATAAAAGACGTTTATTAAAAAAGGCCAAAAATTATTGAATGAAATTATTGTTTTTTTTTTTAATTTTAGTAACGGTTTTAGTTTAGAAAATTTGAAATAAATTAAGAATTGCATAAAAATTAAAACAAATTCAGTCAATTATTTCTTATTTAAACTTTTGATGATCAGCATTTTGTACAAAATTTTCATTTCTTTTTTACAATTATTCAACCTAAAGTCTAGAATTAAACGTACAAAAACAAAAATGGATAGATATATTTAGCAAGCTTAATATTAAGTGAAAACAAATAATTTTTTTATAATACAATTCTTAATTTCTTAATTTTATATATAATATTTTTTTAATTTATTTTTATTTATATCAATGCTATTATTTTTATTTGAATAGTTTTTGTTTCTATATGCATTTTTTATCGTTTTAATTCACATTTTAATATTTATTTTTCTATATTAGTTTTCTTTTTATTTTTTTTTTAAACAAAATTAAAATTAATCAAAAAAAAATCAGTAAATGTTTTACAATTTGTTCTATAAGAAAAAAAGTAAAATTAAAAATCATAAATGCTTGCTCTCTATAGAAAGATTATTTTCAAAGTTATTCAATTCCAAACTCCGGCAAAATTTTGCAAGTGAAAATATGAAGGTTGCGTATACGCACTGCTGAGCTGAGTTGAGTTTAATAAGGGAAATATCCATTAAAAACTTCAAATATTTTTCTATAATATACAAAAAAAAATAATGTAGAAAGAAATTTCAAAATTTTCTTATGATTTTTTTTTAAACTGTTATTTTTTTCAGCAGTGAGACTTTTAATAAATAAAGATCATAATTTTAAATTATTACTTTTAGTCACTTCCATAAATAAAAATTTATAAAAATTCACCAGACAATGAGTAACCTAATATTCTACTTGTTTGATTTTACACGACCATTCATTCATTCACTCGCAGCGCTTTCATGCGAAAATAACGAGCGACAACACTGAAACAACAATAAAAACAACAACCACAGCCGTTTGGACAATAGCAAGGCAGTGGAAAAAAATCCACTATGAAACTGAGTCATGCAACAGCGGAGCTGGATAAAAGTTATTTTATGAATATATGATACGGAGGCGCCGTTTATTTGTCTACCTACGTGTACTGGTATGTGTGTATTGCTAAGGTGTGTTTGTGTGCGTATATACTCATTTGAGCATTCAATCACACCCCAATGGGATTCAGGCGAACAAATTTAACCGGAAAGGCGTTTCACAATAAGTAACAAGAATAACCTTTGGCCATAAAATATTATATACTGCTGGCGTTGAGGGGAGGTTGGAAGTGTTATTAGTGGAAATATTGAATAAAAATACTTTGTAACTGACTTAAGGAGATTTCATATGATACATTTCGAACTGAAAACCCAAAAATCTCGACTGGTGACCGTTGAATATGCCTAATTGAAAAGACTCCGAACCGTAGATCTTATCCTGGAACTCGATACATAGTTTCTCTAGAGCATTTGTTAGTTTAAAAGACACCACTTGATCCACTATGAAAGCCCAGTACGAGAGATTATGGCTCGATCAGAGAAAAATGTGCAAAACTTTCCACTTTAACCTCACCTTCCGGGGAAAAGCCAAACCTCGTAATGATTCTTTAAAAAGCAGATGCTGTTCGCTCACATATCATTTTAACAGCCAGTGAGAAAACTTTTAATTTGAGTAATTGGAAGCGAGTGTAAGATGTATTGATAACGACGGAGCTGTTGGAGTACCGGGAGGATAAAAGATATAGTATACACTCGCTTAAGGTTAAGTTGGCGAAAGGTAGAGTTTCGGAATATTGATTTCAATACAGACACTGAGGAACTTAGGATGATGACTAAGACATTTGCTTCTGACGGTGCCGCGATAGATAGCAGTACCGACTTTTGCAATGGTGAAGCATTTCAGAGCAGAGGAAGGATGCTCTAGAAAGGTCTGTAGGTAAACTACAGAGACCGATATGAACACTAGCCTGGTGGGACGTAACTTTCATAAGTGGTATTGAACACCTAGACATATTTCGCATAATGGTGATTTCTCATTGCCACAATACCTACGTTATCTTGTGATCTTTGGTAGACACAATCTATACCGCTCGTTCTAAGCTGCTATCAGCCGTTTAACCTTGACCAGACACATTTATCAGAAATTATGTTCTCGAAAGTCTTCGAGGATAGACCAAGCAACTTATACCCCGAGTATGTGATCTCTTTTCTTTTGATAACCTGGAGACTTACTTTATCTTTTAAGACAGAATAATCTCTCTCCTGGACTACACGTATCTTAAAGCGCTTTTCTACAAAAGGGATAATGATATATATTCCCACACATCCCTTTGACTCTTAGAACAACCAGCGGAACTTTTTAATAGAGATTTTAGGCCAAACTCCTCCTTCAATAAAGATGTAGCACTGCAGCTTGGCCGTAAGTAGGCTTAGGCAACACTGTGGTCGTAATATCATCTCAGTGAGACCCTGATCAAATCGTACCTAATCGCTTTCAATTCATTGTTGATATGCTTCCAAAAAATGGAAAGACTGACCATTTCTACTAAGCAACTTCCTCTCGCCATGCCGATTCTAATGGGAAGCCTTATGTTTCATTTCATAAATGTCCGCAAAAGGGCTGATATTATCACCGAATAGCGATTGCTTTTGTTTGTAATTTTGAACAATAACCAGGACTCGAGCTCATGACGATCTTTGCAGAAGCATATACTGATATCAACTCGACTATAATGGGGACCAGTGCTACATTTTAGGCACTTTCTGATGACCAACTTCTGCAGGAAGTACCACCGATGGTCGATAGTTACATACAACAGCATTGCAAGTCCAAGACTTTCTGATCTGCCTAAGCCCCGGGTTGTTTTAGCGATTTTTGCTTACCTATCTTCACTCGTCTCTCGAGAAGTCTATCGCTTGTAATAAACAGCATGCTCGGATTGGCCACAAAACTGAATTGGACTGCACACAACTGGGCAGATGCAACTTCAGTAGAGAGAGTTGCTTTAAATTCCTCACACCGCACTCAATGTCTAAGAAACTCGGTTGAAATTCTTTCACTCTTAATCTTCAGTACCGAATTCTTCTACTTAAAGATCGCTCTTTTTTAGGGAGCGCTTTAGACAGTAATTTTACTCGCCGGCCCACATAATTTTCACTCATAGATTCATACCGTTCTCTCCTTATATTTTTTGACTTGCTTCTCTTCGCTAGTAACCGGCGCAAAGTTTAGACAGACTTCGCAGCTCAGCTCAGTGGAACATTCGCAAAAGAGAAGATATTCCTCTCACTTCTGGTCGCATTTTAACAAATCTCTCCAGGCACTCTCTAAAACTGGAAACTTCGGTAGACGTTTCAGAGTGCTCTCAAGAGTTTAAGCTTTAGTTTTGCATTCTGTAGAGAGCGCATCCTATTTACTTATGATCTGTTGAGAGAGTATTCTTGCGCAAAGTTTAGTCAGACTTCGCAGCTCAGCTCAGTGGAATATTCGCAAAAGAGAAGATATTCCTCTCACCTCTGATCGTATTTTAACAAATCTCTCCAGGAAAATTCTGTAGACGTTTCTGATACTTTCAGGAGTTTAAGCTTTACTTTTACACTCTGTAGAAAGCGCACCCTATTTACTTATGATCAGTTGAGAGAGAATATAGTCTGATCTAGAAGAGAGCTTGCCGAGAGAGTACCACTAAGAATGGCAGTTAACTCAACATTTGAGTCTCCCATTCCTCTCCGTACACATATACCGTTAAAATATAGATAATTTTACGATTTCATGTGCAAATAAATTAAATTTATTAACTCACGACATTTCGCAATTCTCATAACGGCAAATACACATGAATATTTCCACTAAAACAATTATAACCCAATTTACCCAGCCAAATCCCCCAGGAACTTCATTAGATATTTATTCAAATTTTCGCCACAAATTGCAATTTCGCATTGGACTAAAGTGAAAAACAAAAACAAAAACAAAAACAAAGTGTGGTCTCAAAACGATGAAGCGATTAGTCGTTAGTGCATAACTGTTGTTGTTACTGTTGTTGATGTTGTAAGAGAAAAGCATGACATATATTATGTGGCATGCAACAAGCTGGATTTAAGGAGTTGCGGCGTTGGGGAGAGTAAAGCGATGGGAGATTGCTAGAAACAGAGACATGTTATGAGTAACGAACTGACGAGCGACGGAAAGCGACTGGACAGCTGACAGCGGATAAGTTAAAAGCGGATTTGCACGTGAATGTCAAAGGATGGTGGGTAGCAAGAGAGCTGGAGTGAGTGGAAGAGTGAGTGCGCACGGAGCTGGCGGGAAGAGGAGCTTCAGGTGGACAGAGCATGGGTGTGGAGGTTGAGTAGAGCAAAAGCTGGCGGCCAACGGCATATACCTGATAGTTTTAGAATAGATCAAGCAGACAGAGCAGCTTAAAGGCTTTATGAGCTCAACTGAGTTGCGGCAGGCGTGCAACGTGAGGTCACGACGCACAAACTTAGTTGGTTTAAAGTTGCTCACAGTGAATAGGCATGGGGCGTGGAGCAAGCTTGTATGTCGTGTTTTGATTCATTTAGTGTAAATATTTTGAAGTAACGGTAAGAAGTAGTGGTGATACAGTGGGGAGCACGTAACGATTAACAATCTAACGGTTGTGCATTTGCGTGCGTCCGAGTGGCTGAAAAAAAACTGCAATAAAAATCGCTTCGATTACAATCAGACAATACGCGTGTGTTTGAATGATACTTGCCGAGCTGGCGAGCGCGCTGCAGACTGCAGCTAACGGTTAGTATTGTCAGTGGACTCATACGACGCGGTCAATTGAAGCGGAAGTTGAAGCGAATCAACTTGAACGCGCGCGAGCACCCTATAGTGCAATACGTCACGCACAATAATTTCCGTTTGCAATAAAAATAAATTTCAAGTGCCTTTTTCCACGCCGAAAGCAGTGTACGCGATGCAAGTAGAGCTCCAGGGAACGCCTTTCTTGCAACGCGGTTTGCATAAGCCCGCAACTCTGCTGCTTCTAACACTCGTGTTGAAGCTACTCGACTCCACCACGGCTTTAGCTATCGACAAAACGGACGGTGGCAGCAGCACGCTGCAGATTGAGCAACCCTCGCAGCCACTGCTCGACCATACGCAAACGCATTTCTTGCCAAATCGCACGGGCATTGTAGAACTATTCGAATGGAAGTTCGCCGACATTGCCGCGGAGTGCGAGCAGTTTTTGGGTCCGTACGGCTATGCGGGTGTACAGGTGTGATGCACATTATGTCCATTGCTTATACCTTTTTGTTTTTGGAATAAATTCTTTACACGTTCCTTTAGATCTCACCCGTCGCCGAGCATTTAGTTGTGTCCTCCGACACCATCGTTCAGCATCCGTGGTGGGAGCGTTATCAACCGCTCTCGTTGAAAATCGCTTCACGTTCCGGCGATGAGGCGGAGTTTCAGCAAATGACTCAGATCTGTAATGCGGCAGGTGTGCGTGTCTATGTCGATGTGGTGCTCAATCATATGGCAGGCGCTTACGACGAGGAGACTGCTAGCGGGCAGCGGTTGCTTGTAGGCTTTGCGGGTTCTACCGCCAATGCGAGTTCGTTCGACTTTCCAACGATAGGCTTTGTTCGTCGCCACTTTCATAAACCTTGTGATTTGTCGGATTATATGGATGCTCATGTTGTGCGTAATTGTGCATTGAATGGTTGGCCCGATTTGGATCATTATCGTCTGGATGTGCGTGCAAATTTGACGGATTTTCTTAATCGTTTGGTAGACCTGGGCGCAGCGGGATTTCGTGTTGACGCCGCGAAGTACATTTGGCCGATTGATATTAAGGTGAGGTTGAGTGTGATGCGAAAGGAAGTTCTTATTGTGAAAGTTTTGGAAGATTTCTTCGAGCTTCAGGAACTTTTGAGCAAGAAGTCTTACTTTGTGGTTTGAAATTTTGAAGTTAACTCCGCTGATTTGTTTAGGTACAAGGCATTAGCAGCTCAGTTAAGAAGTACAAGGGCAGCTTAGTCAAAATAATCTGGATCGTATGCTTTCCAATATGAAAAAACTTCAACTAGTCCTGAACTAGTCCGGAAAATTTCGAAATTTACTTTGTCTTTCAAATTCATTAAAAAAAATTATTTACCATTGCTGGTTGAACAAGTTCCACACTAGTTTCGAAAAATTTTCGAACTACTTTCGAAAAAATTTCGAACTACTTTCGATAATTCTAGACAGTTCTGAACGACTGTGAGACGACTTTCAATTATTGAATTGCTGTATTAATAGTTCCGAGCTTGTTTAAAAATGGCCCCAATCCAGTTTCGAAAGTATTTCGAATAATTTTTGAAATTCTTAAAATTAATCTTAGTTGATATGAAATGATCTCCGATTGCTCATGAGTTAGTTTCAAACAAATTTTGAGCATAAATATTTTGAGCTGCTTTCAAAAATTCTTATATATTCTGAAGCGATGGAAACAACCTTCTCATTTTCTTTGAGCAATTTTCGAAATTTCTAAAAATAAATCTGTCTTGTGGTAAAATGACCTTCAACTAGGAGTGAAGTGTTCTCAAATTAGTTTCGAAATTAGTATCGAACAACTATGCAAATTGTGCTGAAAATGTTTAAAAACATTGCTTTCGAAATAGCCGGATATCTACAGTCAACCTGTACTAGGCTTAGTGGAAATGGGCACAAAATAGTGCCCAAAAAGGTTCGAAAACCACCATGAAGTCCTCAAAAATGACCTTAAAAGTCTTCTAAGCAAATACAATATTTTCCGACTGAGCGAAAAAAATGTATTTAATGATCTATAAAAATATTTGAACTGCTCCCAAACTAGTTCCAAAAATTGTAGTAGTGGTCCCAAGCAATTTTGAAAAATATTTTATTATTGTAGGAGTTTCGAAATGGTTCGAAAATATTTTTAATTTGGTTATTCCAAACTAGTTCTAAATAGCTAGACTGGTATTGGTTATGTAGTAACCACCAACTAGTCCTAAATAAATATGCAAATTAAATTAAAAATTTTTAAAAGTTGCTGTCTTCATTTCGAAATGGTTTTGAAGATATCTGCGTATAAACGAACAAACTATTACCGATGTAATCTCGAAAAGATTTCGAGCTGATTTCAAAAATGGTTCTAAGCCTGTAGACTAAATAGTGTCTCGAGTACAGATCGAGATATGATGAAGTGGCTCCAAACTAACGCTGAAAGACTAGAGCTCGAAATACGCGAAAATGTTATTAAAAATTGATTCGTGATTACTTTTATACAGTCAGGAACTAGTCCAAAACTAGTTCACAATCATTCCATTTTGTTTTTTTTTGATTAAAACTCCAAAATTTGCTGTGCTATTATATTTTGAGATTTTTAAGTTTTTTTTTGTCAACTGGTCCTAAACTAGTAACAACTAAACTAGTAATAACTAAAGAAACATTATATTTCTCTAGAGAAATTTAAAATTGAAAAAACGAATTTTTATTTTAATTAATTAATTTATTTTCATTTATTTGTCTAGCTTCTTTTCAAGGGTGTCACGAATCTCAATAGCGAGGATTTCGATTTTCCCGAAAATGCACGACCATTTGTGTATCAAGATGTCGTTGATTTGGGTGTTGATGCGATATCGAAGTGAGTCTGCATCCATAAATTGATTCTGCGTCTATTTTCAGTCTTAACTGTATTAGCATTTCGATGGAACATTCTCTTTCAGAACCGAATATTCCAGCTATGGCATGGTCACCGACTACCTTTACGCTGCCGAATTGGCTAGTATAATCAGCGGTAAAGTACCACTGAGCTCGCTCATCAACTGGGGTCCGGCAATGGGTTTCTTACCGCACCAGCAAGCGCTCGTTTTCGTCGACAGTCATGATGCACAACGCGACCGAAGGCTACTGGGCGCTAATCAGTTACTTTCCTACCGGCAACCAAGGAAATATATCATGGCTACAGCTTTCATGTTGGCACATCCATATGGGCGAGTTAAACGGATTATGAGCTCTTATTATTTTGCCGCACAACAACCAGAGCAAGGACCTCCAATGGAGGTGGAGGAGGAGGAGGATGAGAAGGCCGAAACGGAAGTTGAAGCAGAAGATGAAGTTGGTGATGGTGAGGTCGCCGAAGGAGACGAAGAACCGGCGGAGGCTGATGACGGTGGAGAAGAGCCAACCGAAGGAGATGAAGAGCCAGCAGCGGCAGATGACGATGCAGATGTAGATACTACAGCTGTGCCATCACCACGAATTCGCTCACCAACTTTTGACGTGTCAACTGGTCGCTGTGAGTTCGTCTCTGGTTGGGTGTGTGAGCATCGTTGGCCGCCCATCGTACAAATGATACGACTGGTGAATACGCTCAGCGAGCTGGAGGATGGTGTCATCAATTTCCAAACAGACGGTCCGAATCACATAGCCTTCTGTCGTGGCAACAAAGCCTTCTTTGTATTTAACAACGATGCACGCTTGGCTTACGATGCTCAAGTTGAGACTTGCCTACCGAGTGGTGTGTATTGTGATGTGATTAGTGGCGGACGTGCGGAGAATGGCGAGTCAACAACGGATTGTGTGGGAAAACGTGTTGTTGTGGATGTAGAGGGTAAAGCACATATCATGTTGCCAGCTGTGTTTGGCGGGGAAGGGGATGAAGCTGTGGTCGGAAGTGATTACGATGAAGCGGAAGTAGAGGCCAATTATGCCTACGGAGTGGCAGTCGGCGTTGAGGGTGAGTTTGGTGTGCTGGCCATATATGATGGATCGAGATTAGAAGGTGACGCTGAGAAACCACCAACAGTTGTTGAAGACGAAGGGGATGCGGAGGACGCAGAGGATGCCACCGGTTTAACGGAAGAAGAGAATGTCACAAAGGAAGATGTATCACCTGAAGAACTGGAAGACGCAGCCGTAGAGACAAAGAGTGCTAAGTTAGAGGAAGCGGCGACCGACGCGAGTGTTGAAAATGAGAATGCAGAAGGTGAAGAAGAAAAGGAAGAGGGGAAAGAAGAAGAAGAAGAAGAAGAGGAGAAAAAAGAGGAAGAAGAAGAAGAAGTGAAACCTGCAGATGAGGAGGAAACAGGTGAAGCTGCAGGTGATGATATGGAAACTGTTGCTGCAGTTGAAGGAGGAGCAGCAACGGAAGCTGAAGGAGAAAATGAAGCAAAAGAAGAAGGCGAGCCTGTGGTAGAAGAGCAGCCTGTCGAAGAAGAATCTTCAGTAGCACAAGCAAATGAAGTGTCAGCCGACGAACCCACGGAATCCCCAGATCAACCGCTCAATGATCAGCCAGTAGGGGCGGAAGGCCCAGCAGTTGTTAAAGTTGACGAAGGAACGCCTGATGAACATAAAGCTCAACCTACGCTTGTTATGCACGACATACAACAAGCTATAAGCGATGTTGCAAAGAATGTTGATGGCTATAATGAATTTATATTACGAACCGGGGTTAATGATGGTGTTAGTGGTGTTGTAGAGGAGGCAAATGAGGTGAGTTTGAACTTAATTAGTTTTAGAACTCTTCAAAATGCCCGGCCTGGGTCTATTTCGCTGAATCTCGTCATCGCTGTACGCCTGTCTCTGATTCTCTTTTTTCTCCCACCTCTCTCTGTTTTATGTTTCTGTCCTTGTTACTTCTTTTGCAACTATGCCTGTCTCGGTCTCGCTCTTGGTTTCTGTTTCGGTTTCGGTTTCGGTTTCGGTTTCGGTCTCTGTTTCTGTTTCTTTCTGCCTCTCTTTTTTTATGAATTCACAAAGCGACTAATTTCTTGCTTTTTGTAGGTTATTGCAAAAGCGGGTTTCGGTAATAACAAAAAAAGTGGTGTATCCAGATCACAAAGGTATGAACTTCCCTCCGCGAGGTCCTCGCTAACAATAAATCCGCGTTAAATGCTGAAATATTAACTAAACATATTTAAACACTTTTGCTCTCCATTTCAGCTTGGGATTGTGCACTTTACCCATTTTAATTATTGCAATTTTAATAAATTTTTAAGGCACTCAATGTGAATAAAATGTGATGTGAGATTTCCATTAAGTCGAGGAAATAATAAAACTATTTCAATTTCAATTTCATTTCAATATTTATTCTTTTCACTTTCCCAGGACTATTTGTAGAAATAAAAGGTAAAACAGAAAGGACAAAATTAAGTACTTTTTGCTTGCAAAATACTAGCGATCGGCTGTTAAGCAATTGCTGTGGAAAGAAAGGCGCTAATAAAGAGCTCAAGAAAGCGGTTGTGAGTGGGCATATCCTTGGATAGAAAAGTTAGGAAATTTGTCTTTTCAGCCTTGTATGAAATGTATACCCTCATATGTATATAAAAAAATTAAAAAATTTTCACGATTTTGACGCTTTTGAAGCATATTTATGAAGTCCTCGACAAATTTTGTGAACTATTTACTTTCCAAAATTAAAAATGTAACTCAAAAACGCATTTTTGAAAAATCATTTGTATGGGCGCTATAGGTTATTTTTATCCGTTTATAATGATTTTCACTAAGTGCTGTACTCAAATGATTTTCTAACAGCAGACCAAGCTTCATCTGCCTTAATGCAGTGTGAGGGAAATTATGTGCTGAAATCTCATTTTTGAATCACAAATTATACGACAGCTAGGTGAAATAGTAAGCAGAATATGAAGATTTTCAGTGACCATTCTCTACATTTGATATGTAAGCAACATACCAAATTTTACGTATATAGCTGATTTAATTTAAGTGGCTGTAAGCCGAAATTGCATTTTCGAGCATAAAATTGTATTGCAGCTACATACTGTATTCGAGCGATTTCGTTCATTTTCAATGTGCACATTTAAAAAATGATATAAGTAGAGCTGACCAAGTTTGGTATCCTCAGCTCATTAATTGTAGTTGCTGTAAGTCAAAAATACATTTTTGAACAATAAATCGTATGGCAGCAATATGTTGTAGTCAAAGGATTTTAATGATTTTCACTGTGAGTGTTTTATACAAGAAATAAATAATGGTGACCAATTTTCGTGTACCTAGTGGCTTCAGTTTAGTCTTTGTAAGTCAAAAATACATTTTTGAACAATAAACTATATGACAGCTATATGCTGCAGTCAAAGGATATAGATGATTTTCACTGTAAGTGTTTTACACAAGAAATAAATAATGGTGACCAATTTTCGTGTGCCTAGTGGCTTGAGTTTAGTCTCTGTAAGTCAAAAATGCATTTTTGAACAATAATTTGTATGGCAGCTATATGTTGTTGTCAAAGGATTTTAATGATTTTCACTGTGTGCTTTTCAAACATGATAAGGAAAAGGCTGAAAAGGTTTGATGTTCTTAACTGCCTCATAACGGCGACAAAAGACAAGTATACCGTTTTTGAATATTTATTTGTATGACAAACATATGTCTAATTCTTTCTATACAACTTAGTTAGACAGTAAAATGATTTTTTAATCCAAATTTATTGATAAAGTACAAAATTTTACTAAAATATTTAACGAAATTCTTACAAAAGGTATATAAATTCATACCCAAAATAACTTATCATCAATTGACCATCTACAATACCTACGTATTCCACTAAATATTAGCAGCAGGCCATTAGGGACACGTTTTTACTTTCATACTTAAGGTAAAATCTCCGATTGCCGTTACTATAAATTGAAAACGGAAATAAAATGTAACCCATTCAGGTGGCTAAAGTTGGCGCTCGCACTAGTTAAGCACCTGCAAATCGGGAGCATAAAATTCAATTTCATTGCTTTAACTTATACCTACATACATATGTATGTATATACCTGCCAAAGGGAGCACCACAATCTCCCACTATGAATTGAAGACTTATTTAGTGGCAGGCAAACATTTTATTTGTTTTTGTTGTTGTTGTTACTTTTGTTACCTTTGTTGTATAGCTATTTAAAAGTAGTTGTAAAAATATATGTAAGTATTTGTGTACATAATAAACTACGAACCACTTTTGCAACCTCTTTTCGCCCACACTCAATTCTCCCTCTCCCGCTCTCTTTCTCCCACTCACAATACGCCACTGAGCACTGAGCGCAGAGTTTTTCTTATTATTATCATTGAATTCAATTATGCCTTCATTTCTACAACATTACCTCCTGCACTTAGGCTGTTACAGTATCAGCAACTAACATCAGCAACAAAAACAACAACAACAAGAACTACAACAACAATAAAATGGTTTTGCCAACAAGTATGTTGTCAACAATTGCAATCTCTTTTTTACAAGTGTCCAAGTTTGCTCGCCCATTGGTGTTTGCTTATATACATGTATACTTATATGTATGTATGTTATACCTGTATATGTGCTTGTATATATGTGCGAGTGTATAATGTTTATCTCAATATTTTCCAGTTAAATGTTAGACTACCTGTGAAAATGGCAGTGCTGGTATCACTAATCGGTTCGGTCAGTGGAGCTGTGAGTTGAGAACGGCGACAGGAGGCAACCTTTTGGGGGGTCTTACAGAATTAAAGTTACTACTGTGGCCTTTAATTTGAAATGACCTAAAGAATAGATAGCACTCTGGAGAAGGAAGAGCTTAAAACCGTAGCCTCACCGAGAGTTTCTGTAGGAGCTTGGTGGTTAATTAAACACTCTCGAAGGTTATTGCAAAAAAGCTCTCACTGGTGAGACCTTGTACTGTGGCTGTGGATCAAAAGAACTGTTTTTTTTTTTTTAAAAAGACTCAACTAGGTCTTATATGACTTTTTTTTGTCTACACTGGAGTTAGGTTAAATTGAGGTGGACAGTTAATCCAAGGCAAAGCCCACACAGTTTTCAATCGAAACTCGATAAGCAAAGGACAACTTAAAACATCTACACACAACAAATCAGTTCTTTCTGTAGACTACTTGGACAGTGATAAAAACCAAAGTGTTACTGCGGCAGCTTCATTGCTTCACCAGAAATGGATGGAAGATATTCGCTATTCTGGCCCGAAGGATACTAGACCCCGCTAACCTTGGAGTGTCACTTTAGTGCCCGTTAAGCAAGTTCTTCAAGATTCTCCTGTCTCATAGCTGCGCGCAAGTTGAGAGAAGAACACCTACTAGCGTCTCTCCAGCATCAAGAAGGCCCTGGTATATATACATTTCTAAAAGATTTTCAGCAGCTCTCAGCGATTCCGGATGACCTGTTAATCATATAAATTTCTTCAGAATAAATCTAAGCCTAAGTTAGTACTGTTAAGCATTCCTTAACAAATCTGAAGCTCACTGTAAATGAGTCCATTGTAGTACCACCCACTAAGCTTTCTGTGAAAATATTGGTTTGACTCACAAAATTCACCGTCGGAAGTAGTCTATCCACAACTTTTTTAACAGCAACAACAAGATCTCTCTACCAATAGATGATGCTTCTAAGAATGCTACCCCGTCGACCTTTCCCCCAAGCTTCGACATAAAGAAAAAGAAGTTTTGTGTTACTTTCCCTTAGCGGTTTTTTCCCGTATAGTCATTCGAGGAGAAGTTTTATGACCGAGCAGAAATCTGCAGCTATGACAGGTACTCTGAAGTTGTGTGGAGTGTACTACGGTCGAGACCGCCAGGATTTAACTGCTTAGTTAATATAACTGCTTCCTGCGCTTTCCACTGCATCTGCACTGAACTCCATCATAAAAGATAGGCCTCAGTATGCAAACAATATGGATCCAGTGAATTATTTCAGAAGAAATGCCAATAACGTCTTCTGGTCAGTCAAATCAGAGAAGTATACAAAGCAATATGACAAGTTGATTACTCTAAAGTTGGTTACTTTAAAGAATGTATAACCAGTAAGGATTCTGAATTACTTTGTGGTTCCACGTGGTCTTGGTATATACTAATCAGGAGGGGGTTTCGAGATTAGAATAATCAAAAAGTTTCTTAATTCGGTTAAAAAAACCTTCCGCTACATCTCTCCGTAGAGTTTCTGTTTCACAGTTCATGAATCCTCCGATGCTTAACTTATTGGGTTGATTAATGAATGTGGGCGACGGTAATGAATACCTCACTCAACCTAGTTGTGGATTCGACATTCCCAGGGAACAGTGGTGTCAGTTACGACTAAGTGTCATGAGATACTGACGCGACGGGAGGGATATAAGTTTATTCAGCGTCTTTAAGGAGGCCGAAACCTTTAAAAACTTTTTTGTTGTATCAAACCTCGGAGGTTTTGTTTTGTCTCGATTTTATTTTCAGAAAATTATCATCTAGATGAACAAGGCATCTTTGATTAAAGAAGAGGAATATACCCTTCTCAGAAAAAAATTGCCTTAAATCGTGTTTTCTTCCAAAAATTATCATTTCGCCGAAACGCCTCTGTTTGTTTCATATTTTCTAATTTTATCACGGAAAAGAGTCAATGAAAAGTAGAAAATAATCAGCAAAACAAAGTGTTGCCAGAAGTGACCAATTTCCATGCCAAATGACTTTCGGCTATCGTACACAGTAGACTAGTTGGAGAAGTCCACTTGAATAGGCGAACCATTGCAGTTGGTATGAAAATAAAAGCAACAGAGTAAAGAGAAGAAAATACATATTTACAGTGGTGGCTAATATAAACTTGAAATTTGAAACTGCTTTCGGCAACCTTAATTTAACAGCACCCACAAGTCTTTCCGCCTTACGACACTCAATCCCCTTTCTGCGCAGTCAATACAAATTCAACATTTCTTCAAACCACTTTCTAACCCAAATTGAAGTGGAATGCCAGGCAAACTGAATTAACCAAAGATTTCAGTGCAAGACTTTTGGGTACACAGTTTGCACTTGCCACTGGACTGCATAACATAAGTGATCTCTGTCAAGTCAGTAGCCGTGTGTGTGCCAGCGCATGAATGTGTGTGTCAACATGTTGTGTGCAAGGCAAGAAAATGCTTGTTAGCTTTATGTAACTGTTGCAGCACGCATTGCAGCTAAGAAATACCTTTTTTTCAACATTTCCGATTTTTTTTGTTGCTTTACGACTGCAGGATTCCATCAAGAAATAGCTGGCAATACGTTCTGTTGCTTAGAAAATATTGCTTTCTTACAATATTCTCTTGCTTTTCAC